CCTAGTATCGATACAATAGATTTATTACATTTAAAAACGATGTTAGAATCGATATATGTTGTCCAAAAGGCCAACTCGCCGAGCACAGATCGATGTAGTTGGATCATAGGAATATAAATCGATACATCGATGTAGTAGATGGATCGTTACACCCCTACTAATAACATTAGAATATACCATTAAATAACAACTTAACTCATGAATTCAGTGTACCATTGATATGGTAACTCTCTTATGCTCTGCTATTGCATAATTCTATTTTGTACATAGGTCACAAATTAAGTTATCCCAAGTAAAATTGGAGCACAATTTGCTCCCAACACACTCATCCAACATATTACTACTTTACTAAAAAAGTATCTACATTTTTGTCTCTAAATAAGTGGATTATTTATCTTAAGGGTTTCCTACTTGTATATTTAAAAAACAATTATAGATCTAACTTCATTGGAATATATCATTTTCAAAATATTTTTTTTTTAGATCAACGTACCACAAAATCGTTTTGTTGAAATATCTCCCAACAAACGTTGTGATGACACAGAGGGACATTTTTGTTGAGCAAGTGAGCAGTGGCAGCCAGGGAAAGTTTATGGGAAAATAATTTGGTTGGGGGGGGGGGTGGGGGGGTTATAACCCCCCCCCATGAGAGAAAAAGACCGAAATTAGACTCAAATGTGCCCTACCTGGAGCATTAATCTCGACATTAATTGTTTTGGGGCCTCGTTTTGCCCCACTGCATCGTTAAAAGGTCTCCTGAGTGGCACAGCGGTCTAAGGCACTGCATCTCAGTGTTTGAGGCGTCACTACAGACCCCTGGTTTTCGATCCAGGCTGTAGCCCAACACCGGCTGTGATTGGGGAGTCCCATAGGGGCGTGCACAATTGGCCCCAGCGTCGTCCGGGGTTTGGCCGTGTGAGGCCGTCATTATAAATAATAATTTGTTCTTAACTGACTTGCCTAGTTAAATAAAGGTTAAATAGAAAATAAAAAAGTACACTCTGGGGCCCTCTATATTGTTAGCCAATGCAGTGTGGAGATGGGCACCCCAAATTCAATAATGTAATTTCAATATCCAAACCTATTGTTGCCCTCTTACACTCTCTTTCAGTTAGCGTGTGGCCGGACAGGCCCAAAGTCTGGATAACACCTGAGATTCATCCAACAGTGGAACAAATTTGGGACTGGAGAATTTATCACTTAATGGAATGCAGAAGAATCCAATACACATGGACACTGTGGACTTGAAGTGCTCTTGGGATTTCTATTGGTTGGTTGCTCTGGTAGAAATATTTCCTTAGCTTAGAGTCATTAGGCTACTTGTAAAGAGCATTGGAGACTCAAAGGCCCACTTAAAGTCTCCTCTCCCTTAATTCCTCTATCCAGTCCTCTAAAACCCTCTCCTCTCCCTCCCTCCTTCCTCTCCTCTCTCTCTATACAGCCCTCTAAAACCCTCTCTCTCCTCGCCTCCTCCTCTCTCTCTCTCTCTATAACAGTCCCTAAATCTTCTCCTCTCCCCATCCTCTCCTCTCTCTATACAGCCCTCAAACACCACTCCTTTCCCCAGCCCTGGATGAGGTGTCATGTCCAAGTCAAGTGAATCACTATGTGAGCCCCAGCATACAGAGGACCTATTCAACAATGAGAGATCAGACATTTAATGCAAGTCATACCCAGTCATGTTTAATCAAATGTCAGCCAGTCTGCTCTCTTGTTTTCTCTCCAGTCTCCTGTAATACTCACTCAGTCCAGCAGATGGAAATAAAACAATATTAAAACAATAATAAATATATAATCTGAGTGACTGCTCGGAAGTGGTCCCTATTTCCTCGTTACTCAGCTGGAATGGCCCTTGGCTCTCTCATGTCCCAGGAACTGTGGCACCCACAGACAAACTAATGTCTGGATGTCTAGTTTCCAGTCCTTAATCTAACCCCAACCCTAAACCACAATGGGTATTGTATCGCGTGGTAAAGTTCATATAAGATAATGTGTCATTCAAGAATTCACTCTATCAAGTGAAATCACTCAAACAAATCGAAGGCTAGAAGTGAATCTAGAGCAACTTGTATGCAGTGTTCGTCAGCGACCACTAGAGGGCACAGTAGACCTCTGTAGGGGAACTCAACAGAAAGGACTGAATGTATGTGTGTGTGTGTGTGTGTGTGTGTGTGTGAACAGTGAGTGTTAGTAGCATGTTTGTTGCTGAGTTGCTAACTCCTGGTGATTTGAACAGCTGTTATACTGCTGTTGTCGTGTTAGTGATTAACACAGTGGAAAATCCTCTCTCTCCATGTTTTTCTTACTGTCTATTTCTCTCTACCCCTCTTCCTCTGATTCTTTAACTCTCCCTCCCTCCCCCCTCTCCCCCTCTCTCTGGGTTTGATGATGCAGCAGCCTTGTTTACCCGCCTCCCCTCTTCGTGTAACTACTCCTCGAGAAAGTTAAACAACCCTGGGTCACACTAGGACAACAACAACAACAGCTATCTCCTCCTCCTCCTCCTCCTGTTCTCTCCTCTAAATCTAGCTCCTCATTCTCTCTATCTGCTCCCATCTTCTTTTCATTATCTCCCATTCTCTCGTCTTTTTCTAATCCCACACTCTCTTCGACTACTGTTTTGTCCTCTTTTCTCCTCATTCAACTCCTGTCCTTTATCATTTACTGCCTCAAAGGGCACAAAAACGGATAGGTTGATATTGCGACCTTCACCCTACAATGAAGAGGTATAGACTTCTAAAGGACTGCCTCTCGTCTTTCCAGACAGAGTTTTCCTGTAACTTTCTCCCTAGCCCAGTCTGGTTTGGGGCTGTATCCCTGGGTGTGCTGTCTGCTATGGGGGGTTAGTGTGGAGCTGAGCCCTGTGCTGCCTGCCCGTGGCTCAGCTCAGGCCCAGAGATTTAAGAGGCTTTTCAAAGGCCCTGTGGCCCACAAGAGAGAGAGAGAGAGAGAGAGAGAGAGAGAGAGAGAGAGAAACGAGAGAGGGGGATAAGAGAGAAGGAGTGAACACTTACCCACAGAGAGACAGGAATGTGCAATGAAAATGCACACACACCATGGCATGCAGATGCAGACCCACATCCCTCCCTCCCTCCCCAGTAGTCAGTAGACATGTCTCTGATCCAGGTTGTGGGAACAGAGCTATAGCTCAGCATTGTTGACCTTTGACCCTAGCCTCCATCTGTGTGGCTGCTGGCCGGTCAGCCGGCTGGCTGATGGCTTTACAACATGGCCTTTCTCTCTGCTCTGCTCTCTGCTCTCTGCTCTGGGAAGGTCAACAAGTGCTACTGGGCACGCTCACAACCAGCTGGCTCTACAGTAGGAAGTGATTTACGTCAGTACTATCTACCTGCCCATAGGGGGAGCGGTAGATGTTCAGTCTGTGTCCTTTGGCTGAATCAGTGTGCATGTGGCAGGTTGACGTTTATTGTCATGAGTCTTGTCCTGGAGGCAGAACTGAGCAATTTCCCCTTAGATAGGCCAGCTGCAAAGTCAAAATTGGTTATATTGTAAAAGGTTATGAAAACAAAAAAGTAGCTTTTTGGTCTTAATTTAAGGTTAGGGTTAGGTAGTAGGATTTGCAGTGTGGTTAAGGTTAGGGTTAAGGTTAGGGACCACTCTGCAGAGCTGCCTCCAGAACAAGATTTGTGAAAAACGCTAACCTGCATGGATGTGTGTGTGTTCCTTCTTCAAGGGCAGAGTGTGTGTTTATGTTCCAGTCGGTCTGTCCTTTGGCTGAGTCATTGTGAATACGTGTGTCTGTCTGTCTGTGTGTCTGTCTGTCTGTCTGTGTGTGTGAAAGAGAGTGTTCCTTCAGGGGCAGAGTGCATACAGGGTGCTGTAGAACACATATGGCGTGTCTATGGAACAGATGAGAGGAAAATAAAGAGTGCCATCTGATGAAGGGTGGAGAGAGAGAGAGAGAGAGAGAGAGAGAAGAGAAAAGAGAGAGAGACAGAGATAGGATATATACACAACTAGCTAGAGAGAGTAGCCCACTCTCTCTTCTTGCGGTCTCTCTCTCTCTCGCTCTCCTCTCTATGCTGATATCTATTCTCTATCCCCTCTCTCTAGCCTCTCTCTATCTCTCCATCTCTATCTCCTCTCTCCTCTCTCTCTTCCTTCGTTCGCTCTCTCCCTCGCTATCCGCCTGCTTCTCGCTCTCTCCTCGCGCTTCTCTCTTTTCCTCTCTCATCCCTGCCTGCTAGCTGATAGATAAGGAGAGTGGTGCGCCTACTTCTGTTTTGTCCCATTCCCCCCATTCCTCACATATCCAGCTCTGGACAGAACGATGGAGGAGGAGAGGGGGAGAAGGACGACAACAAACCGATCAGGAAGGGAAGAGAGCAAGAAAAGAGAGAAGAAGAATGACAGAGATATTTCTTGCCTGCCCCCTTCTCTCTCTCTTCCCTCTTCTCTTCCCCCCTCTCTCTCTCTCTCTCCTCTCTCGCTCGCGCTCTCTTCGCGCTCTCTTGCCTCCTCTCTCTCGACCGCTTATCGCCGCTCTCTCTCTCTCTCTCTCTTCATTCGCCTCTCTTCATCCTCTCTGTTCTCTCTCTTGCTTCTCTCTCTCTTTTTTTCTTCTCTCTTCTCTCCTTCCCTCCTCGCTCCAGCTTCCCCTACGCTCGCTCTCCTTCCCTTCTCCTCTCTCCTCTCCTTCCCTCTTCTTGTCTTCTCTACTTCATCGCTCTCTCTCTCTCTCTCTCTCTCCTCTCTTCTTCTTCTCTCTCTTCGCTCTGCTCTCTCTCTCTCTCTTATCTCTCTCATCTTTCTTCTCTCTCGCCTTTCTTCTTTCTCTCTCTCTCTCTTCTCTTCTTATCAATCATGCATTAAAATTTAAGAGCCCGCGCTTGCTCCAAATCACGTTAGTATCATAAAAGTAAAGGACATTGAAACGGGAAATGTAAGGAAGAGGTCTCGAAATAAATGAACAAAAGTAGTCTATATCTAGCTATTCATTCTAACCCAATTCTCATATCTTCGGCTCTTTCACCGTTTCCGCTGCTTTCCTCAACTCCATTTTCCCACCTCCCCCTTTCTCCCTGTTCCTCTCTCTGTTCTAGTTCTTTCTTCTTCTGTTTGCTATTCTTTCTTTCTGTTCTTTTCTGGTGGTGCTTCTCTTGGCTTCGGGGCGTTTTCTTACGAACAACTTTTAATTTTTTTTCCCCTTCAAACACGTTCAATAAATCCCACAAGATTTCATAAAAATAACAACCTAATCAAGATAAATCAAATAATTATACATTTTACTGAAAATGAGAAACATACAAACCTCATACATCATGGACAAAACCACTGAAAGGTGGCAATACCAGGTCAAATGGTAACATGACCGTAACCCTCAGAATCTTCAAATAAATCTAAAAAAGCAAAGTTTTATTAAAGTTACTGTTTTCTAATTCTCTTCAAGTGAGCAATTGAAGAGATATTCTTGGGTGTGTTATGCTTTTTTTGCAAGGGAAGTCCGGTTCTTTGGGTGCTGACTTTATTGGGAGTTGACTTAACCCTCTTTGTGTTTCTGTACTTTGATGGGCCCAATTAACCTTCGCATCTTTTTTTTTCTTGTTACGGTTCTTTTTCTTCCCTTATTCCCTGCTTTATTTCTTACTGGATGGAATGACAGGACATATGTGTGGTGCTGACTGGATGGGATGACATGACTTATGTGTGGTGCTGACTGGATGGGATACAGGACAATGGTTGTTGTGCTTACATTTAATGTGATGACCAGTACATTGTGTTTGGTGCTGACTGGATTGTGGAGACATACGTATTGTGGTGCGACTGGAGATGTAATTACAGGTGACTATTTGGGGTGCTGACTGGATGGGATTGGACAATGGGATATTTTATGGTGCTGACTGGATGGGGATTACAGTGACATATTTGTGGTTCTGACTGTGATGGGATGTAACAGGACAATATGTGTTGGGGGGTGCTACTGGGATGGGATGACGGACCTATGGGTGGTGCTGACTGGAGGGCGATGACAGGACATATGTGTGGTGCTGACTGGATGGGATGACAGGAATATGTGTGGTGCTGACTGGATGGGATGACAGGACATATGTGTGGTGCAGACTGGATGGGATGACAGGACATATGTGTGGTGCTGACTGGATGGGAGACCGAGGAACAATATGGGTGGTGTGACTGGAGGATGAGCGCGAGGACATATGTGTGGTGCTGACTGGATGGGATGACAGGACATATGTGTGGTGCTGACTGGATGGGATGACAGGACTGGTTTATCAGATAGTCAGTGATGCTAATGTTTTGTGTGTGTGTGTGTTTTCATCTAGTCACCCAGTAAGTTTACTGCCTCGTATGTTTGTGCCACTGTTCACCTTTTTACCACTGGTAAACACACAACACACGCACACACACACACACACACACACACAAACTTAGAGCTGAACTTCAGAAATCAATCCGTACAAACCATTTACAATTAGCATCAATCTGGCAACGCAAAGACTACCAACACATCCATTTTAACAACAACAAAAAAAACTGTGTGTGTGTCACCTTGTGTACCGGTATTCGAATATGAAGGGTAATTGTATGTGATTTTTGAAAGGGCGAGCAATATTCATCAAGAGGAAGTAAAAAAACTAAAAACAAAACAAAAATGTAAAATTTCAAAGGAGAAACCAGTCAAAAGACACAGCTGCAGCAGCTATGGTCGGTCCACTTCATATCTCTTTTTGTTCCTTTCTATTCAGTCCCTTCCATGACACTCAGTGCTCCTCTTTCTCCTTCTTTTTCTCTGCTTGTCTTTCCTTCCTTCGTTACAATCCAGAGGCTGACTTAGGGGTGGGAGTGGACAGGGGGGTTTGTGGGTTGGGGCTGGAGGGTTATAGGGGTCTTGGTTTTAGGGGGTGTTAGCTGACCCAGTGTGCAGGTCTAGGTCTGCCCATGAGGGGGTAGGTAGAGAGAGAAGGGGAGGGGGGCGTGGTGGGGGGAAGGTAGAAGTGGGGGATGCGTGTGGAGAGGGGGTTTCAGCTCAGTGTCTCCAGCTGTTCTTCTTTTCCGGAACTTTCATCAGCTCCTCCTCTTCCTCTTTGGAATCTAAACAAAAGAGAAGTTATTCCCAATATGAATGAATCTATGATTACTAGCTACATTAATCATCACTGTTTGAAAGCATGTCATCAGGATTGAGAGCATGTCTCGCTATTTCAAGCATGTGTGTATGTGCGCGCGTGTGTGCTTGTCACCTTGGCACTCAGGACAGCACATGCCCTCCCGGCGGGTGATGTTACCACAGGTCAGGACTGGACACTGCTTCCTCTGACACTTAGTCACACCATGCTGGAGAGAGAGGGAGAAAGAAAGAGAGAGAAAGGAGGGAGGGAGAGACAGAGGGAGGTACATTAGGAATGCACCTCATAATGCTGTGAAATTAGAAAATGCTCAACGCTTCTCAACTACAAATCTAAGAGTTCCCCACACGGACACTGGCATTTTCCCCCAAGGGGTAAGGGCCACCCAAGTCCCCCCCATCCCTACAGCTATGAAGCTCAACCAAGTCTGAAACATCCCTACTCTATCTGTACAAATATGTATTAAGCACAGTGGCATGGAAAAACTCCTTCAGTCAGAAGAAACCTTGAGTCTGGGTTTTTCTAAAGGTTTACTGAAACAGAGGGAGTTCTCCAGTGCTTTTTTCCCTTTTGGGGTTTAGGCCCAACAGTCTGAAGCTTTTTTGTCTTGAATTGTGTTGTTTGGCAACAGGTCCAAACCCACTCTTAGTGGCAATATTTTGTAAGAGACTTGTTCCTGACTGGTCCCTGACTCCCTGTAATACTCACGTCACACCAGCAGGTGATGCACTTCATCTCTCCCATCAGGGGCACACGGGGGTGCCAGTTGTCACTGTTCTGGTAGAAGTTCTTCCCAAACTTGCAGTGACGCGTCCCGTCTGCCTGCATCATGTCAGCGTGCTCCAAAGGGGGTTTGTCTTCCTCCGGACACTCCTTACAGCAGTCTGAGGGGCTGCGGCGTACCGGACGACTGCAGGTCAGGGCTGGACACGTCACCTTCTCACAGTGCACCTCGCCTGTCGCCCCCTACAGGAGTAGAGGACGAAGGACACAATGGGAAATGAGCGGAATTTACATTACATTCTAGGAAGCTGCAGAAAGATTATGTTTCTAATTATGTTAGCATCACTTATCGACTTACATCATGCTAGCTGTGAAGGAATAACCTAGAGGCCTACCTTGCAGGTGCAGAGGGCACACTTAATGTAGCCAAACGGAGGGACGAATGGATGCCAGGTAGACCCAGGAGCATGCATCTTCTGGTCCCCCTCAAAGTAACAACCTGAGAGAGAGAGAGAGAGAGAGAGAGAGAGAGAGAGAGAGAGAGAGAGAGAGAGAGAGAGAGAGAGAGAGAGAGAGAGAGAGAGAGAGAGAGAGAGAGAGAGAGAGAGAGAGAGAGAGAGAGAGAGAGAGAGAGAGAGAGAGTTCAGAAGGATGAGAGAAATACACTCTTAGCATTGGAAATGCACATCAATCTCAGAGGTAACCAGACAGAATGGAGAGGAGGGAGGATGACGGAGAGAGATAGAGGAACTGACAGATGGAGAGGAGGGAGGGTGACGGAGAGAGAGGAACAGACAGATGGAGAAAGCGAGAAAGAGGAGGAGTGACAGTCAGACAGAGAGAGAGATGGTACAGTACCTTCTGGATGTTCAGAGTGACAGTCAGACAGAGAGAGAGATGGTACAGTACATTCTGGATGCTCAGAGTGACAGTCAGTCAGAGATAGAGATGGTACAGTACCTTCTGGATGTTCAGAGTGACAGTCAGAGAGAGAGAGAGATGGTACATTACCTTCTGGATGTTCAGAGTGACATTCAGACAGAGAGAGAGATGGTACAGTATCTTCTGGATGCTCAGAGTGACAGTCAGTCAGAGATAGAGATGGTACAGTACCTTCTGGATGCTCAGAGTGACAGTCAGACAGAGATAGATGGTACAGTACCTTCTGGATGCTCAGAGTGACAGTCAGACAGAGAGAGAGATGGTACAGTATCTTCTGGATGCTCAGAGTGACAGTCAGACAGAGATAGATGGTACAGTACCTTCTGGATGCTCAGAGTGACAGTCAGACAGGGGAGTAGATGGTACAGTACCTTCTGGGGAGTGACTCAGAGAGTGACGAGGTCAGACATGTCAGGAGAGACAGAGATGGTGTACAGTACTTCTGGATGTTCAGAGTGACAGTCAGAGGAGAGAGAGAGATGGTACAGTATCTTCTGGATGTTCAGAGTGACAGCAGAGAGAAGAGAGATGGTACAGTACCTTCTGGATGTTCAGAGTGACAGTCAGAGAGAGAGATAGATGGTACAGTATCTTCTGGATGTTCAGAGTGACAGTCAGACAGAGAGAGAGATGGTACAGTACCTTCTGGATGTTCAGAGTGACAGTCAGACAGAGAGAGAGAGATGGTACAGTATCTTCTGGATGTTCAGAGTGACAGTCAGACAGAGAGAGAGAGATGGTACAGTACCTTCTGGATGTTCAGAGTGACAGTCAGACAGAGATAGAGATGGTACAGTACCTTCTGGATGTTCAGAGTGACAGCCAGACAGAGATAGAGATGGTACAGTACCTTCTGGATGTTCAGAGTGACAGTCAGACAGAGAGAGAGATGGTACAGTACCTTCTGGATGTTCAGAGTGACAGTCAGACAGAGAGAGAGATGGTACAGTACTTCTGGATGTTCAGAGTGACAGTCAGACAGAGAGAGAGATGGTACAGTACCTTCTGGATGTTCAGAGTGACAGCCAGACAGAGATAGAGATGGTACAGTCCCTTCTGGATGTTCAGAGTGACAGTCAGACAGAGATAGAGATGGTACAGTACCTTCTGGATGCTCGTCTAGCCTCTCTGGAGCCGTCATGTCCTTGGGGTCTTTCCTCTCTAAAGGACAGACAGGGCAAAAGGACACAGGAAAGTATTATTTCACAACTTTACGACCGTAATGGGTTGTACTGTCAAGAATAAGTCCTCTCAAGAATAAGGAAAAAAAACTCAAGCACACAATCCTATTCAAACATAGTAACACACCCACTGATACACACACACTCACCGAGACATACGGGGCAGCACTTGTCCTCAGGCTGGATGGTGCGAGAGCAGTTGAGAACTGGACAGATGACCGGGTCACAGATCACTGTGCGCTTCTACAGGGAGTACAGGGAGATTGAGGGAGGAGAGAAATGGACAGAACAAGCGATATAGTAGTTAGACACAAAGTCACTCAATATAGTAGTAGAAACTTTACTTCTAGATTCTCAAGACATCTAGATTCTCCATCGAACGGGCTTCTTAGCCCAGGACTAGACTTAATCTGTGTCTGGGAAACCAGCACTAATTTAATGCGTAGCTATAGCGCCGCCCTAGTGGTTTTAGTTGGAACAGTCCTACCTGACAGCTGCAGGTGAAACAGTTGTTGTAGTTGGGGGTCCAGAGGGAGCCGTGGGCGTGGTGTTGACTCTCGAAGAAACAGGTGTGGGGGTCTTTCTTTAGTTCCTCAGGGTCACGCACAAACAGGTCATCAAACTCCGCCATCTCCACCTCACCCCTTGTCCCAAACTCACAGTTATTAGGCACATGGACCTGTAGGGAGAGAAAGAAAGAAGGAGGGAGGGAGGGAGAGAAGAATGGAGAGGGGGGTGACAGAGAGAGAGAGAAAGAGGGGGCGAGAGAGAGAGGGGGGCAGAAAAGGGGTGAGCATGAGAAAGGGAGAATAAGAGGAGGGACCGAGAGCAAGGAGGAGGAAGGAGGGAGAGAAAGAGAGCAAGGAGGAGGAAGGAGGGAGAGAGGGGGGGAAAACAGAGGTTAGGATTTCAGTGATTTGTTGGACACACCTTCCTTGTGGCTTGTTATAAAGCGTACTTGTACTTGTTAATTAGTCCTAAATGGAGCGTTCAGCCGGCTTTCCGCCCATGGCTCTACGGCTCCACGGCAGATGGCTGTTTATGTGTCAGACCTGTTTGCTATTTAAACTGCCGGACTTTACTGTGTGTGTGTGTTCTTACACGTTTCTTTCTCCCATTCCATCCCCTGGCAGCTAAGACGAAATCATCAACCAGGCCACCTGCAAATATGTTAGCGTGTAACGATGTGAGTGTGTGTGTGTGTGTGTTTGTGTGTGTCCTCACATACTTTTACTTTTCAACAAAATGTCTCTGAAAACACAAGGCCACCTGCCAGTGAGTGTGCTTGTCTGTGTGGCCTCACACTGACTAAGTGAGCAATCACACACACACAAAAACCACTCAGCTGGCTAGGGCCCGGAGGGGCCTCACCTCCCTCCCTCCCCCTCCCTCCCTCCTCTCCTCCACCTCTGATCACTCCATCTCTATAATCCTCAATATATTCCAATAATGCATGATCAAACTGAAGAGTGTGGATTGAGATTGAGGTATGGTTGAGGTTGAATAATGGTTGTTAAGTAGTTGAGTTATGGTTGTTAAGTGGTTGAGTAACGGTTGCTAAGTCATTGAGTTATGGTTAAGTGGTTGAGTTATGGTTGTTAAGCGGTTGAGCTATGGTTGTTAAGTGGTTAAGTGGTTGAGTTATGGTTGTGGTCCTACTCACCCGTCCACGTATCTCTCCTCTGGTGTTGACCTTGGTGCTGACCTGGATGAAGGCTGTCCCTCTGTCCAGGTGACGCAACAACTCTACACTGATGTCCTTCAACACACCCTGGGCCTGAGAGAGAGAGAGAGAGAGAGAGAGAGAGAGAATGGAATAAGATTCTGCTGTATGTATACATTCTCTATATCATACTGTCATGGCAAAGTTGTGTGTGTTTGTGATTATTCTTGTGTCTCCGTCTGCCTACCTGAGAACCGTAGAACCCTGTCAGAAGTCTCTTGTGATTGGTGCTGCTCTCGTCCAGCTCTCCGATTTCGGCCAATCCGTGGAGGTGGGCATTGACTGTGAGATCATCAGCTTTGCTGAGGCCTGCCACCACAATCTCATAATGGAGGTGACAGCGCTCGTCCACAGACACCCAGGCATGGCCCCCAGCACTGGTCAGGACTGGAGGGGCCACAAACTGGCCTGCCAGAGGGACAGGGATCTCTGGGGAAGGAGAGGGTTAAATATGAATGAAAAGCAAAAGACTAGAGTTAAATAGAATAATCTCAAATTGGGATCAATGTTTTTCTTTCAGATACTTTTTCAGGCACTGTGGCTCTAGTCTAGAGAACTGGAGTTTGCCACCCCTGACCTATGCATTTACTCAACCTAAGTGTATTTGAGTTACTCTATGGTGAATCCCAAACCAGCCCATCGCCACTACCAACTCACTCAGAGGGCCCTCCGTTGTCACGTGTTACTGACAAAACTCAGAGGGTGACTTCAAGAGTGACGAGGGGATCAATAAACCCATCAACTTCAGGACATACTCTTGATTTGAATGATGCAATTCATGTTCTACATTTAAATAATAAAATGGCCATGAAATTCAAATGAGAAAAATTCCCCTGTCGTTTTACAAGATAACAGTAACAGTTAAACATGTAATTTGGGAGGTATTTCATCTGTTACTTGTGTCAAGCCTCAAAATCAGACACAAACACAGGTGGTTCATAATTATGCGCGACTCTCCATTCTATTGTGTGAAATTGCGCAAACTCAAAAATAACACGGTGCGTTATGGGATACCACTTCACTCTGATGCAGGCAGCATAGCTGGCTCGGTCGAAGTGGCTATTGGAGGGACTAATTAGCACTTACACCTTCCATAATTTTGACTTCGTCAGTTTTGGGACAATTGTGCATATGGTGGAGGCGCGCGTGAACGCACAAATGGAGGAGCGAGGGGAAGGGGGTTGATTTAGGATTCAGCCCTAGTGTCTGTTCTGGTCTAAGGTCAGTGTCTCACCGTGTCTGGGTGCCTCCAGGCCGCTGTAGAGCAGGGCTCTGATCTGTCCGCGTAGCTCCCCCTCCTGGCTGTGTGCGGTAGCCACGTTGATGAACAGTTCGTTCTGCAGCAGCATGTGGATGTGACGTGCCTCTAGACGACTCCAGCTTCCCACCGCCCGCCCGCTGGGCCTGTCCAACTCTGGAGTTAGGTCGTACAGCACGGATCGCTTACTGCGCCGCCGAGGCTTTAGCTCGATGGTCAAACCCACCACCTCACTGGATAACCCCGCTATCTGGACCTGTGGACGGAGCAGGATATGGGTTGGTTTGGTGGTTCAGTTCAGTGTGGTTTGGTTTGGTTCTGTTCTGTTCTGTTATGTAAATAGTGACAGTACAATTCCATTTGATTCAGTTCTTTAAAGTTAAAATCAATTCAATTAAGTTCAGACCCATACCTGGTAGTCCAGGGTGCCGTTATCATGGAGATTAAAGAATGCTGATCCCACGCCGCCTGTCTTCCCTGCTGTCAATGCATCACCACTGGACATGACACTCTGGATGGCTGGAGAGAGAAAAAGGGAGTGGAGGAGGGAAAGAGAGAAAAGAAAAAAGTTTAGTAAATTATTTCTTGAATCCTTGCTATTACATAACAGATGAACACGCAGTGCCACACTTGGACATTTTCATGTTTCCATAAAGCAAATTGAAGTTGGAACGAGAGAGGATGATGACAGAGTGAGTATGAGAAGGGTCTCCCTGACTCTGTGTCCTTTCCATTTCAGACCCAGACCCAGACCCAGACCCCTACTACAGACTAGTCTGAATGTGATGATGAGGCAGCTCTTGCATGCGAGATGAGGCAATGCTCTCTGTCGTGTTATAATTCACCCTGTTGGTCTGGAGAGCCAGACAGGGGGGAGCCGAGAGAGGGCCAGAACACATTCTCTCACGTCTCCCCTGTAGAAAGACACACATGCACACACACCATGTCATCCCTCCACTAGTGGGGACAATCACAGGGAATGAATAGATCACAACCCGTCCAAACAGAACTTTGGTGTGAGGGTATGTGTGTGTCATCTCAAAAGAGAGAATTCTAGCTTAAGTGGTGTACCCCCACCCCAACACACACACACCCTAACCAAAGGTTAACCCGTGGGATGAGGTAACCCTTGTTGAACACGAAAGGGCTTAGAAGACAGACAGGGAAAGACAAATAGAGAAGGAGAGGAGAGAAAGAAGAAAGAAAGCTCCAAAAAGAAAGGCAGAATGGGAGTGATAGAGGGGGGAGGAGTCAAGACAGAGAAAGAACAGAACAAGATGGAGAGACAGGCAGAGAGAGAGAGAGAGAGATGAGAAGAATGTAGAGAGAGAGAGAGAGAGAGAGAGAGAGAGAGAGAGAGAGAGAGAGATGTAAGGAGAGAGTGAAACAAGTGTTGGGTTGGAATTCTTCACACATAACGTCAAGCTGTTAATCATGGAGCTGGAACACCAGTATGGAGAGTGAGGTCCAGCAGACTGTGACCTTGGCAGCGCCCAGTGTGTGTGTGTGTGTGTGTGTGTGTGTGTGTGTGTGTGTGTGTGTGTGTGTGTGTGAAATGTACACACAAGTGTGTGTGTGTGTGTATGAAAAAGACAATGTGTGCGTGAGTGTGTGTGTTGGGGGGGGGGGGGGGGGGATCTAAGTATATAAGTATGTTTGCGTTAGAGTCGTTGAATGGAACATGTGTGTGCTGAATTTGTCTACGACACATCCCTCCGCTCCCTGTATTATGGACCACCAGGTCAAACAGCGGGGCTATAAACATGGTTTTACTTCAGTGATAAGACTTGAAAGAAAAAAGGGAAGGAGGGACTATTTATAGAAGAGAGAGAGTTGCTAAAACAGCCACGGAGGAACAGAAGGGGAACAAGTGAACTGAAAGACAAAACACATTCCTCCTAGGTCTCTGACTTTGGCCTCGTTTTAGGTGTGATGGGATGACAGAAAAGGATTCAAGGTTGATTGTTTGATGTTGAGCGACTCGAGTAACTTCATCAATTCAACCTGTCACCTGTCTGAGTGACTGACTGTGGGCTGATTGATTGATTGGTTGTTCTACATAAAGGGGTGTGGCACTTACTGTCACAAGACTTCCTGCCGGTGATGAAGCCAGAGATGTGTCGGGGGTCCTGGCCCTCGGTTTCCACAGCGATCACCAGCTGGCCTCTTGACAACCAGAAGAGCTCCCGACTGTTCAGGTCTGTCAGCACCTCAGCAAAGTCTGGGTCCTAAAGGGAGAACGTTGGGGAAATGGTGATACAACATCAGACTTATCACCAACAAACACACAAGGGTTATAATAGATAAACTCACAAACATATTCTACTCAAACACACAAACAGACACTGAAACACTCATTATGACACTACAACACACTCTCTGTCTCTCTCAACAACCCCCCCCCCCCCCCTACCACACACACACATACACACACCAGAAATATGGCTCGCTTTGGGGCTAATATCTCACACACTGCATCCACTTTCATATCCTTCCAACTGCCAGAACTTTACATACACAGAGATTGGAAAATTATTTTGAAAATGTTGTATTAATATGACAGATGTATGACTGTGGTGAATAAATGTTACTATTATGACCCCAGGCCCCATTTCAATAGAAATATCCATGTACTATACATCCAGGGACAGGATTGAGCCAAGAGAGCGAGAGGGAGAAAGGGAGGGATGGAGGGATGACGGGAGGGAGGTAAGGAAAGAAAGGATGGAGGAAGGAGTGATTGAGAAATGTGGAATTCGTAAAAATCCAAATAACTTCACAGATCTTCATTGTAAAGGGTTTAAACACTGTTTCCCATGCTTGTTCAATGAACCATAAACAATTAATGAACATGCACCTGTGGAACGGTCGTTAGGACACTAACAGCTTACAGACGGTAGGCAATTAAGGTCACAGTTATGAAAACTTAGGACACTAAAGTGGCCTTTCTACTGACTCTGAAAAACACCAAAAGAAAGATACCCAGGGTCCCTGCTCCTCTGCGTAAACGTGCCTTAGGCTGCTGCAAGGAGGCATGAGGACTGCAGATGTGGCCAGGGCAATAAATTGCAATGTCCGTACTGTGAGACGCCTAAGACAGCGCTACAGGGAGACAGGACGGACAGCTGATCGTCCTCGCAGTGGCAGACCACGTGTAACAACACCTGCACAGGATCGGTACATCCGAACATCACACCTGCGGGACAGGTACAGGATGGCAACAACAACTGCCCGAGTTACACCAGGAACGCACAATCCCTCCATCAGTGCTCAGACTGTCCGCAATAGCCTGAGAGAGGCTGGACTGAGGGCTTGTAGGCCTGTTGTAAGGTAGGTCCTCACCAGACATCACCGGCAACAACGTCGCCTATGGGCACAAACCCACCGTCGCTGGACCAGACAGGACTGGCAAAAAGTGCTCTTCACTGACGAGTCGCGGTTTTGTCTCACCAGGGGTGATGGTCGGATTCGCAGTACTTAATGCAGCTGGTGGCCACACCAAATACTGACTGTTACTTTTGATTTTGACACCCCCTTTCTTCAGGGACACATTATTCAATGTCTGTTAGTCACATGTCTGTGGAACTTGTTCAGTTTATGTCTCAGTTGTTGAATCTTGTTATGTTCATACAAATATTTACATGTTAAGTTTGCTGAAAATAAACGCAGATGACAGTGAGAGGACGTTTCTTTTTTTGCTGAGTTTATATTAAGAGCAGGAAAGAAAGAACATACAATACACTTCACATTTGTGGATGCGGCTATTTCAGCCACACCCGTTGCTGACAGGTGTATAAAATCGAGCACACCGCCATGCAATCTCCATAGACAAACATTGGCAGTAGAATGGCCTTACTGAAGAGCTCAGTGATTTTCAACGTGGCACCGTCATAGGATGCCACCTTCCCAACAAGTCAGTTTGTCACATTTCTGCCCTGCTAGAGCTGCCCCGGTCAACTATAAGTGTTGTTATTGTGAAGTGGAAACGTCTAGGAGCAACAACTTCTCAGCTGTGAAGTGGTAGGCAACACAAGCTCACAGAACGGGACCGGCGAGTGCTGAAGCGTGTAGCGCGTAAATATCGTCTGTCCTCGGTTGCAACACTCACTACCAAGTTCCAAACTGCGTCAACAAAATAACTGTTAATCGGGAGCTTCATGAAATGGGTTTCCATGGCCGAGCAGCCGCACATAAGCCTAAGATCAGCATGCGCAATGCCAAGCGTCGGCTAGAGTGGTGTAAAGCTAGGCACCATTGGACTCTGGACAGTGGAAACCTTTGGGATGAATTGGAACGCCGACTGTGAGCCAGGCCTAATCGCCCAACATCAGTGCCCGACCTCACTAATGCTCTTCTGGCTGAATGGAAGCAAGTTCCCGCAGCAATGTTCCATCATTTAGTGGAAAGCCTTCCCAGAAGAGTGGAGGCTTTTATAGCAGCAAAGGGGGGACCAACTCCATATTAATGCCCATGATTTTGGAATGAGATGTTCGACAAGCAGGTGTCCACATACTTTTGGTCATGTAGTGTATAAATAATATTTAGTGTGTGTGTGTATGTGTGTGTGTGAGTGTGTCAGTGTGTGTGTCAAACAGAAAGAGGGGCATATCAACTCTCAGATTCACATAATTCCCACCAGATCAAAAACAGACCCCTCCTTTCATCCCTCCTCCTCCCTCTCTTCCTCCTTCCTTCCTCCCTCTTTCTGGTCCCACAGACAACTAACCACTGACATGTGTGAGGAGTGTGCATGCCGTTCCACCCTCTCTCCCTCACTCTCTCCTTTCTGTCTCTCATCCCACCCCCTCTCCCTCACTACATGTCTCTTACAACCCCCCTCCACTCTATCTCTTTCTTTTTCTCTGTCCATCCCGTGTCTCTATGGATGTTTAACAGTGATCTACAGTACTGACAACAGCAGTAGGATGTGGGGAAGGAACCACATCCATCTCAGCGGGAGAGTGTGTCACGATGTCATCTGTTTCCCCCCTTTCCTCCCGCCTCTTGGTTTGTCCCTGATGTATGTTTCCCCCTAATGGTTAAGGTTAAGATTTGGTTTGGTGAGGACAAGCTGATCCTAGATCTGTGCCCAAGAGAGAAACTGAAAAAGAGAGAGAGAGAAAGTGTGTGTGTGTGTGTAGTTTCTATAACTTACATAGGCGGTGACGTTGGCATGGATCTCTCTCAGGACATGTTGGCGGTACTGCAGTCGTACCCGGATGGGCACCAGGGGGGAGTCTACAGGGCCGAGAGAGAGCACACAGAGCAAACTTATAACCATGTCACACTGCCTCACAGCACTCCCTAGTCCCCAGTCCCAAAACAACCCCTAGTCTCTTGTCTTATGCCTTAAGGTACTCCCTAGTCCCAAGTCCCAAAACAACCTCTAGTCTCTTGTCTTAGCCCCTACTCCCTAGTCCCCAGTCCCAAAACAACCTCTAGTCTCTTGTCTTAGCCCCTACTCCCTAGTCCCAAAACAACCTCTAGTATCTTGTCTTAGCCCCTACTCCCTAGTCCTAAAACAACCTCTAGTCTCTTGTCTTAGCCCCTACTCCCTAGTCCCCAGTCCCAAAACAACCTCTAGTCTCTTGTCTTAGCCCCTACTCCCTAGTCCCAAAACAACCTCTAGTATCTTGTCTTAGCCCCTACTCCCTACTCCCTAGTCCCAAAACAACCTCTAGTCTCTTGTCTTAGCCCCTACTCCCTAGTCCCCAGTCCCAAAACAACCTCTATTCTATTGTCTTAGCCACTACTCCCTAGTCCCCAGTCCCAAAACAACCTCTAGTCTCTTGTCTTAGCCCCTACTCCCTAGTCCCCAGTCCCAAAACAACCTCTATTCTCTTGTCTTAGCCCCTACTCCCTAGTCCCCAGTCCCAAAACAACCCCTAGTCTCTTGTCTTAGCACCTACTCCCTAGTCCCTAGTCCCAAAACAACCTCTAGTCTCTTGTCTTAGCCCCTACTCCCTAGTCCCCAGTCCCAAAACAACCTCCATTCTCTTGTCTTAGCCCCTACTCCCTAGTCCCCAGTCCCAAAACAACCTCTATTCTCTTGTCTTAGCCCCTACTCCCTAGTCCCCAGTCCCAAAACAACCTCTATTCTCTTGTCTTAGCCCCTACTCCCTAGTCCCAAAACAACCTATATTCTCTTGTCTTAGCCACTACTCCCTAGTCCCCAGTCCCAAAACAACCTCTAGTCTCTTGTCTTAGCACCTACTCCCTACTCCCTAGTCCCAAAACAACCTCTAGTCTCTTGTCTTAGCCCCTACTCCCTAGTCCCCAGTCCCAAAACAACCTCTATTCTCTTGTCTTAGCCCCTACTCCCTAGTCCCCAGTCCCAAAACAACCCCTAGTCTCTTGTCTTAGCACCTACTCCCTAGTCCCTAGTCCCAAAACAACCTATAGTCTCTTGTCTTAGCCCCTACTCTCTAGTCCCCAGTCCCAAAACAACCTATATTCTCTTGTCTTAGCCCCTACTCCCTAGTCCCCAGTCCCAAAACAACCTCATTCTCTTGGTCTTAGCCCCTACTCCCTAGTCCCCAATCCCAAAACAACCTCTATTCTCTTGTCTTAGCCCTACTCCCTAGTCCCAAAAACAACCTCTAGTCTCTTGTCTTAGCCCCTAGTCCCTAGTCCCAAAACAACCTATATTCTCTTGTCTTAGCCCTACTCCCTAGTCCCCAGTCCCAAAACAACCCCTAGTCTCTGTCTTAGCCCCTACTCCCTAGTCCCCAGTCCCAAAACAACCTCTAGTCTCTTGTCTTAGCCCCTAGTCCTAGTCCCAAAACAACCTTATTCTCTTGTACTTAGCCCCTCACTCCCTAGTCCCAGTCCCCCCAAAACAACCTCTAGTCTCTGTCTTAGCCACTACTCCCTACTCCCTAGTCCCAAACAACCTCTAGTCTCTTGTCTTAGCCCCTACTCCCTAGTCCCCAGTCCCAAAACAACCTCTAGTCTCTTGTCTTAGCTCCTACTCCCTAGTCCCCTGTGAAGGAACAGGATAGAGGCAATACAGCAGAAGCCCCATTAAGCCCACTGAAAGGAGGATCAAGTGATGAGTTGTTCCCCTACACCTCCCTCCCTCTCTCACCTCTCTCTTTAAGTTGTATCCCCTCCCTCACTACTCTCTCTGTGTTGTATCTGTCCTCCCTCTCTCACCTCTCTCTCTATGTTGGATCAGTCCTCCCTCCCTCTCTCTATCTGTGCTGTATCCGTCCTCCCTCTCTCACCTCTCTCTCTATGTTGGATCAGTCCTCCCTCCCTCTCTCTCTCTGTGTTGTATCCGTCCTCCCTCTCTCACTATGTTGGATCAGTCCTCCCCCCTCTCTCTCTGTGTTTTGTCAGTCCTCCCTTTCTCTCTCTCACCTCTTTCTCTATGTTCTATCAGTCCTCCCTCACCAATCCCTCTCACCTCTCTGTCTGTGTTGTATCAGTCCCTGCAGTATGAGGATGAAGTGAAGGTTGTTCTCTGTGTCACTCAGAGTCAACATGGCGACGCCTCCCATCCCAGAATGCTCCTCTTCTGAGGTCAGAGTGGAGCTGAACGTCTCTGTGGGGTCACATGGATATCACACTCACATTGTAAACACACATGACATATATACACACACCACCTTATTGTTACTGCATTCGGTTATGAAGGCCATCCACTGTGTTCTCATGCAGACACTGTCCACAATATGAGCTGCATACATTACTGAACGTTTGTCCTCATTGAAATGTACACAAATGTATTGTACTTTGTATCCCTCATTTACTCAAGTGGTTCCTTTATTTTGGCAGTTACCTGTACACATATGTAAATAAATCAGAATTCATGGAAATATTGAGACTACTTCTGTCCACATTTAAACAGATATATAAACACACTTTCATGCACCCACTAATACATGCACATGCATGCACACACACGCAAGCACACACACCCACACACACCTGCGAAGAGTGCTCTGTGTTTGATGATCTTTCCTTCGATCTGCTCCTGTCTACCGGTGGCTGTTGTCATAGTAACCCGAAGTTGTTCTGCCTGTAGCTGTTGCACGTGGGATTGGGGAAGATTTTTCCACACCCCGCAGATCTGAAACACACACATACACGCAGGTGAGCCACAGTTGCAGCCGCATGTTCTTAGCCAAGGCTGGGGTTTGAGTGTGTGTGGGGTTCTTAGCCAAGGCTGGGGTTTGAGTGTGTGTGGGGTTCTTAGCCAAGGCTGGGGTTTGAGTGTGTGTGTGTTGTGTTCTGCCATAGTTACAGCTTACAAACTGACTCACAACAGCCTGCATATTCTGTTTTATTTCTCTGCAACACACACACACAACTTCATCTGTGGAAAAGATCAGCCCGTCGAGACCGTGGACACTATCACAGCACCAGGCCACAAACAACGAACCCCCCGAAAATAATATTTGCCTTAGAGGGGGAAGAAATATGGTGACGGACACACACCTCATTGCGCACAGTCCAGGATAATCTCCTCTTTTAATTATAATTGTGCTCCGTCTCCTTCGCACGGGTGATGTCACGCACAAAAATCCCCCAAGAGATGATCCATGCCAGCAACCCCTCCCCCTGGCCATCCCAGGGCGGTTTCACTAAGGTCCTCTAGAACGCGACACTTGATAGGGGCACTTGTCAAAAAAATTATAGGTCCATTTTTTCTAGGCCTATATTCAGGGGTCCTGACTTAAATTGTTAAAGAATGTGATGATGTCACGTGTGTAATTTGGCTTTATGCAGGAAATGGTGCACTGGGGATGTAGGCCTCTGTCACACACACACACACACACTGCTCCCCTCTTAAATAAACGGTACCTTCCTTTCTCGTTCTCTTTCTCTGTGTAAAGTTAGCTGACTGTGGCAGCTCCTGTGTTTACTCTGTGTAAAGTTAGCTGACTCTGGCAGTTCCTGTGTTTACTCTGTGTGAAGTTAGCTGACTGTGGCAGTTCCTGTGTTTACTCTGTGTAATGTTAGCTGACTGTGGCAGTTCCTGTGTTTACTCTGTGTAAAGTTAGGTGACTGTGGCAGTTCCTGTGTTTACTCTGTGTAAAGTTAGCTGACTGTAGCAGTTCCTGTGTTTACTCTGTGTAACGCTTGGTGACTGTGATAGTTCCTGTGTTTACTCTGTGTAAAGTTTGGTGACTGTGGCAGTTCCTGTGTTTACTCTGTGTAACGCTTGGTGACTGTGATAGTTCCTGTGTTTACTCTGTGTAAAGTTTGGTGACTGTGGCAGTTCCTTGTGCCTCTCAGTTCAACAGTTGCACCATTCCATTTGACCCAATAAAATCAACTGTTTGTGATAACGGCACCATGCGTTATTTCACAGTAATCAAGACTTGATTATCCCAGCAACATTCTGACAATGATAAGGCAACGCTGTGACAACGCTGTGAGTGTGTGTGTCTGTGTGTGTGTGTATTTGTGGTAGCGTCTGTGTTTGTTATTGCAGGGTGAATTATGTCGGGGCCAGTGAGAGTTTGACCAGAGAGTCACAGAGAGAGAGCGTTTATCATGGAGGTACTTAATCTTTCTCTCTAGGGCACACACACACACTTGCATGCAGAGACACACATACAAACACTTTCTCTTTCTCTCCCTGTCTTTCTCACATTCACACACCCACACACACATAGACACACAACAAAAACATAAATAGCGGAAACGTCTACCTAGGAACAGAGAGCGTTCCAGTATCTTACCATGTTTGAGTATCCCTTAGGGGTCTTGTACTCAAACGCAGTGTTTCCATCTGAATCAAGGAAGACAACCCTGCTTGGTCGCCCGATCCTAGGAGAGGAGAGAGGGAGAACAGGAGAGAGGAAGAGAGAGAAAGATAACATTTTATTTTATAAAATTAGAGACTAGTTATTACTAATGATTATTACACGCTTATCATTTGTTTTTCTGTCAGTGTGTGTGTGTGTGTGTGTGTGTTACCTCTGGTAGGTGATGGAGAAGGTCAGGCTGGTTCTAGTGAGAGAGAAGCGTGCCCGGGCCACACCACTGGAGCTGGGTAACCAGGAGTCTGTCACTCCCGTCAACACTGCTACAAAGTCTGGACACACACACACACACACACAGAGAGACACACAGTAAAGTAAAGATGTAAATCAGAATGACTGAATGGAGGAATTATTTTCTTGTTACGGGGGCAGTGAGAGTATATGTGTCCTTATATGAATACTGTATATCCATGTACTGTATATCCATGTACTGCATATCCATATAGTGTATATCCATGTACTGTATATCCATGTACTGCATGTACAAGATGTGTGTGTGTTTCCATGTCAGGTAGCCTAGCGGTTAAGAGCATTGGGCCAGTAACCGAAAGGTTGTTGGTTCGAATCCCCGAGCCGACTAGGTGACCAAATATGTTGATGTGCCCTTGAGCAAGGCACTTAACCCTAATTGCTCCTGTAAGTCACTAATTGTAAATGACTAAATGTAAATGACTAAATGTAAATGATGTATGTCCATGCATGAGTGTACAGTAGTGTTTTGTGTGCGGCTGAGTGTGCATGCTCACCAGTGCGGCTCTCCCCGGGGGAAATGTCCTCAGAGCTGAGGTATGAGCGGTCATTGTAGGACTTGTGCAGATCATCCTCTTTCTCCTTCTCCTGGAAGTACTCAAAGCCATCAAACACCGCCTCCGCCTGCTTCCTGTCCACCTCGCCTGGACAAGCACAACACAACACCCAGGGGCACAACGTGTGAGGCGGTGGGATATTTACACAACACCTACAGGTTGGAATTACTTTAACATGAAGGCATAAAGTAAGGAGAATCACAGCAAATGTTGAATGAGTGAACCAGCTAGAAAGAGTGAGAGTTACAGAGTTACAGGGAGGAGAGGAATGATTCTAAAATGCTGATCCAAAATATTAGTCCTCCCTAATTCTCTCTCTCTCCCTCTATTATTTCTCTCTATCCACCCTCTCTCTCTGTCTCTCCCTCCCTCTTCCTTTCTCTCTCTCTCTCCAGGTGTCTCCTTGTTGGAACACTCCTGGCTCGTCTGGGTGCCACAGTAACAAGGTTTGTTTCTTAGTCTGAGGAGCTGGGAGTGACACTCGTGTGCAATCCCAACAGTGACCTGCTGTTCCAAACCACTGTGTGTCCTGATGTCACGAGCACATTTCAGTGCCTCACACAAACACACACACAATCTGACAGACGACTCACACACACTGAAATACAGACACACTGAAAAGCATACTCAGAAAAACACACACACACTACGAGACAGACAGGCTCTTACTCACACACACATCATCATCCAGACTTATTTCTTCAAGGCCATCCATTTTACTCCTAGACTGTCTGCTTTACTTCTCTGTGTCCCTCTCATATCCTCTCTCTCTCTCTCTGGCTCTCTTCTCGCACTCTTTTATTATCCTCCTTTCTCTCTCTTTCATGGCCTTATTCCCCTGGCACTCTCTCTCTCCCTCCATAGGGTACGCTCTAGGGCTTCTGTGTAGTGTCAGTCTCACCTCCCTCCATTCTACTATACTGTATCCTCAGGTGCACCAGTGAATAGACACACACACACACACAAACGTGCACGTAAACACACACGCACACATAAGCATGCGCGCACATGCACACACCGTTTTCCACCACTTAGACAAACACACTCAAAGCTTTTTAACATTTAGACAAACACACTCATACTTTTCCTAAAGACACAACCACAACACACTCCCAAGCTTTCCCAAAAATCACCACCACGACACACACACTCTCAACACTTTCCCACATGAACACAAACACACTCAATGTTGTCTCAGTGCTGGGGGGCCATGCCTCAGAGAAACCCAGGGCTTTACCTTGACTTTCCATTACCAAAACCCACTGCTGAATAACTATGGAGAAAATAAGACCCAACATGTGTGTGAGTGAACGTTTGCGCAGGTGTGTGTGTGTGTGTGGTGTGTGTATGCGTGTGCGTGATTGTGAGCCTGAGCGAATGAGGGAGTGAGAAAGAGGGAAGGACAGAGAGAGAAAATAGAGAGCGGGGGGGAGTGTGTATGCTATGTAAAAGGTAGTTAGTAACACTGGGAACTAGGCTAAATCGGTCTGAATTGCCCTTTGGTTCCTGATGGTTAGAGAATGAGCGTATTTGACACAGTCGAGTAGGAGAGACAACCTAGCCCAGACCTGCTACTGATTACCAATCAGCCGCTCTAGAGAACAACATAATGAAACTAACTGAGAGAGAGAGAGAGAGAGAGAGGAGAGAGGAGAGAGAGGAGAGGAGAGGAGAGAGAGAGAGAGAGAGAGAGAGAGAGAGAGAGAGGAGAGAGAGGAGAGAGAGAGGAGGAGAGAGAGAGGAGGAGAGAGAGAGAGAGAGAGGAGAGAGAGAGAGAGAGAGAGGAGAGAGAGGAGAGAGAGAGAGGAGAGAGAGAGAGTTTACCTTTGGGCCAAGTTTATATAGTGATAGGGACAGTTAGTAGGCTGGTAGGGGTTACCTTTGGGGCAGGTCTTGCAGCATTGTCCAGGTAGCAGCACTGGGTCACCACAGCTAGGCTCAGGACAGTCCTGCTTGACGTTCTTACAGCTCACCTTCCCCAACACCTTACCCTTACGACCCCTTTGCTGAAAATAATAGATAGAAAACATCAACTCCTCATCCACATTGACCTTAACACTGTATCACACAGGCCTGATGATATTTGTTAAATGGGGTCATTTTGGGGGCACTAAGATTTGGAGATGATTTTGGTAATTGATTAATTCATAATTCATTCGTTTGTTATTTTAGGCCCAATTTCTGTCCGTTGATAGTCCTGGGCCTACATAATGGCACCACTATCCAAGATTGACATGTACTCTATTAGGCTTGTTGTGAAGGATGTAACTTACTGTCTCGCAGTAACATTGGACACAGTGCATGACCCCAAACGGCTCACCGAGGTCAGGGTGCCAAGTGTCCTCCAGCGAATAGAATCTTCCTCCAAATGAACATCCTGCAATCAGACCAGCAGAACCCATTTAGACAACAATACACTAGCATGTGGTACAGTCCACATCTAAATGTAAAACTGGTGAGTAGCCTAGTCTGAGATCAACATGTTATGATGCTGTATTTTTCTTCTTCTGAATAGCTACAATTAATTCACAACTTATAACCGAAACAATCAACCAAACATTCAGTAGAACAGAAACGATTGCATGGCATTGCCAGACACTTTAATGGGCTAGCCAGGCCTATGCACTTGACAATTGGATGTGTACTGGACAGTTCACTGCGAAGTGAAAGACTGCATATTCCCACATTGGCGTCAGACAGAACGACAAAAATAGGATTATGTCCAGCCAGACTGTGAATGTTGACAGATAATCGATTCTGCGGCTGGGACATATTGGGTGGATAGACTGGATGCCTCGTGTTCCAGAGCTCACCGACGCATCCTGTTTCATTTAAACGGTGCATGGGACACTCAAATTTATATAAAAAATACCATTCACACAACAAACACGAAACCATCTGGAAAGAGAAATAAAAGGAATGCGCTTTTGGTAGCCTACCAGTGTCTGTGTAATTGAAACGAATTGATGTATTAGGTTTTGAGTATTTCAAATTAATTGAAAAAGTGGTATTAATAAAAGTATTGCATTATAAAAAGCCTGCATAAAAATTGTCCCAGCAACAATTGTTTGCGCCACAAACCTCCTCTGCCTAGTTCCATATGGGTGTGCGCCATGTGCATTCCTCTCCCGGTTTCAGAGTCGCTGTACACCACAGTCACCTTGGCACCCCAGCCCAACACCACAGTCTGGAGGTGAGGCTCCCCGGTGCCAAATTCACTACTGTTGATTTGATATTGTGCGGTTGCCGTAGCTGCTAACAATCTGGTTCGCATTATTCTTTCATTAAGTGACTAGACTTTAAAACAGTCCAGTTGCGTTAGAGTTAGACGGAGCACCATGCTTTCCCGCACAACTCACTGCAATATAAATCACTGCTTAGTACAGCCAGAGAAGGCTACGAAAGAACTGCAGCAATGGACAGCCGATTGATTACAGTTTCCAGGATTGGATAAACGTTATTAGTGGCAGTTGTTAATACACTGCTCTAACGCCTTGACTTCTCACTCCCATGGGCTCAGTAGGCCTACCCCTTTAACAACAAGCAATTTAAAGCCCTGCACGTGAACCAGATGCCATTCTCAGTGGTTATGACTAAGACGTTTTCTGCAAGTATGTTCATGAAGTAACCATAACAGTAGGAAATTTGAGGAAGATGCCAGAAAACAAACAAAAAAGATTGGGTTGATAATAATAATAATAATAATAATAATAATAATAATAATAATAAGAGGTCTGATGCTGTACAGTGAGGCACTTTGATAGACAAAATGATAGGCTGTGTCTGTGTAGCCTAAGCGGTCATCTACTGACGGTCTTAAAAAGATATAGACATATCAGGCTATACATTCAAATGTATATTTGGCAGATTAGCAAACGAGCACTAGGCTAGCCTATAGTGCTGAGATGCCCCTGCCAGGATTCAAAACGTAGCAGGGGTCATTATAGGTCATTCATTGAATGGAGATATTCAGGTTGAAAAGAAGTGACTTTGACTGAAGTAGAAGAGGCATCTTGGCTCACCTGACATGCCCTTGGATGGTAAAGGCTCCCTCTCCGAATGGATGGGCAGAACGGGAGACTTTAGCCGTGAGGCCAGTCCAGAGTGCAGCCACGCGCAGCTCATCACGCACAATAAGGAACTCAGCGAGCGGCGAGTCTGCATCCCAGCGAGGGGCAGGATCTAAAACTCGCTCCGGTTTCTGTTTTTCCCTTCCCTTTTTGTTCTTGAAAAACGTATTCCCCTCGTTTTTAGAAGCTTTCACGTGTAGGTAAGTTGTCACTCCAGTAATAAACCTTCCCTAAATAAACATGAATAGGGTAGCATTCAAGTCACCAGATAGCCTATTCGTTGATGGTCTTGAAGTTATTCCTATTCAGAAATAAAGACTCCCAAGTTATGCAAGAGAGAGAGAGAAGCAGAGAAAGTGACCAAAGAGGTTGGAGGTTTTCCGAGGCGAGGACTGTACCAGCCCAGAAGCGTATGTCCCGTCCGTGCGGGTCCCTTCCCACTTTATACTTTCCCTGACACTTGGAGCAGGCACCAGCAGGGAGGGGTGAGAAGGAAAGGAGTGGGTGGGGTTAGGTGAACGCCGGGGAGGGGGGGGGGGGGGGGGGGGGTACGTTTGTGTAGCCTATTTGTAAGCCAACGGTTCGATTGAACTCTTATGTCGTTATAAAGTTACAACTCAATATAATCCTGTTTTTGGATAGTGTAGGACTCCTGTTCTAGGCGTCTATGTAGGCTATGTGTCTGCCCTTCATCCGATTCTCATTGAATAAGAATGTCTGAAGTCATCGACAATATTGACTCACATTCTTTATTATTTTGTTAATGGAAACATTTACATTTTAGTCATTTAGCAGACGCTCTTATCCAGAGCGACTTACAGTTAGTGAGTGCATACATTTTTTTTATTTTTTTAAAAAAAAAATCATACTGGCCCCCCGTGGGAATCGAACCCACAACCCTGACGTTGCAAACGCCATGCTCTACCAACTGAGCTACATCCCTGCCGGCCATTCCCTCCCATACCCTGGACGACGCTGGGCCAATTGTGCGCCGCCCCATGGGTCTCCCGGTCGCGGCCGGCTACGAAACGTTCTCTTATTGTTATAAAAGTGAAAATTATATACAACAAACACTTGATTTAAATTGAGCAATATGCTTCCCACTCTTCCATGTTCCATAGGCGCGAGAATGCGTACAAGAGGCTTCAGGCTTGGTCCCTATGGAGGCATCACGAGCGCTCTGCTGGTCAAGTTTTTTTACTGTAGTGAAGTACGCACGGTGATTTATTTGAGGAAGTTCACAGCAAGGGTCTCGCCAATCAGTCATTCTGTGGAACAGTAATCATCCCTCAGTGAGTGCAAGTACAGGACAACCACCCCCATTAGACAGAATAGAATGATAATACAATAATGATAATACAGTAATGATAATAATGGCACATAATTACTCATTTCAATCTTTGGACATTAATTTGCTTATTATAGCCTAAAGGTTCACCGACTGAACACTATTTGTGTGCCCTTCTTTCCCAAAGTCTCAAACTATCCCAACGAATAATAAAATAACCAAACTAAAGTTGGCATAATTTAAGGGGCTTGGGGGGCCAGGCTGTGAATCAGGCGAGCGAGCTGTTTAGAGAAGAACCATATATCAATCACTGATTGTAGCTTAGTCTGTCGCGCTCCGGAAACTGCGCGAGCCTCTCTCCTCCAAACCCTCCCCAATCCATCCACATGCTAAACATGACGATACAATATGCTCAATAGCGATAACCTAACCCATTCAATAAGAACCCAGCACGTCCTCTATTCTGCCGGAGTGACCCTGGCTCTAACAAGTGCTATAAAGAAGAACTATGAAAATAAACGGAGAACAAAACGATGTCTCGTAGCATGGGCCTATATCCAAAATAAAGTTTTATAGAGTCTTAGGTAGGGCTGTGACGATTATGGCATTTTGGGTCATGGTTATTGTCATAATTGTCATTTTTGGGTGATTTTTTTTGAGTTTGTAGGCCTAATGCATCTTTGAAAATTAGACATCATACCCAATGCACACAACACAGCTTTGGCGACACCCCTAAAAAACGAATGTGTTTAACTGCTTGCAACTTTTGGAAATTAAGCTTTTCCTCCCAACTGTGCTGTTCTGCTCATTTACATTTACATTTTACATTTTAGTCATTTAGCAGACGCTCTTATCCAGAGCGACTTACAGGAGCAATTAGGGTTAAGTGCCTTGCTTAAGGGCACATCGACAGATTTTTCACCTAGTCGGCTCATAATTTTTTTTTACCCACTTCATGTAAAAATGAAAAACTGCTATTGGGTTAACTATATCTACTTGCATACTGTATGAAGTTGAATCCCCCCTTCTCCTAAAATGAATATATTAAGACAATTATGTCGATATATTTTTTTGTTTGTTCATGGTTATTGTCCATAATTGTCGGTTACATTATTAAATGATAATTGTGCCAGCACTAGTCTTAGTCTATTTGAATGAAATGGCATTCTATTTTCTGCATCCATTTGTATTTATAGGCTAGTTCCCTATAGCCAGTGTAGGTGGAGATAGAAGTGATTGTATTTATATTATCCCCTTGTGTACAGGCTATAGAAAGACATTGTAGCCGAAATTGAAGAGCAAATAAATATTATTATTGAAAAAGTACACATCTGTTCTTCAAATGACATGCCAGTTTGGTGTTGAAAGTACATATAAAGTACACACATATATATTTTATATTTCTGACATTGTTTCTTCTGATATTTCTTCATTTCTTTCTTTTGATTTATTTTTGGATTTGTTAGGTATTACTGCACTGTTGGAGCTAGAAACATAAGCATTTCGCTGCACCTGCAAAATATGTCTACGGGACGAATAAAAGTTGATTTGATTTATTGTATGTGTGAGGACAATGTGTAATTTTTATGCATATGTCACATTATGTGGCTGTGAGAGACTTCCATTGAGGTGAGTGAATTCACACGCGGGTTCACCTCTCCTCCGTGCAAGGCGCGCACCCGTGAATGGAATCGATGATGGTCTATTTGCACTTCATCACGAAGTGATAACCGCCGCTTTTATTTAATGCTGCACCGACCGATTCATTAGACTGGGTAGCGAATTGTCTATTGGAGCTAACACAACTCATTTATATTATGCGGGTCACACTTCGAGTAATGAGGGGATCTTTTGTGTATTGCCTTACACACATGGCTTGCTATAGGTGCACTTTCCTGAACTCCAAAAAGGATATATATATATATATATATATATATATATATATATATATATATATGTGTGTGTGTGTAGATTTTTGAAAATGTTGCAATAGTATTGGGTCTATTGTAAAGCCTCCTATTATCTGATATCTAAAAGTAAAGGATTCAGGGTTGAAAAGTGTAGTCAGCCCACCTCGGCAGATTGTACAGTTTGTCCTTATCTTTCGAGAATGAAAGTAGCTTAGCCTGGAGTTTACAGTTGTTCCCCTAAGCCTTGACGTGTGTTTTCATTTAAAGAAGAGGGGAGCGAGAGAGAGAAAATGAGAGAGGAAAAGGGAAGAGAGAGAGCGCACGCGTCTGAAGTCATATGCCAAGAAACATTGATTGCGCTCTAATAAAATCGATTAACCGTGACCAGCGTTTTATGAGAGTGAGTAAAGTTACAATTCCGATCAGACAGCACCTAATATAAACCAGACACCATGCCTCTTTTTTTATAGTCAAAGTGTTGTCCGATATGTTCTCTCTGAAGATTGGACACACTCGAGGCCTAAAATAGGACCAGATCAAAGAAACATACAGCTATATAGGGCTATGTCAGAACATATTGGTGCTTTTGATTACGCAATCATGCCTCTTCTCTGTGTGTTTGCTGTTGGTGTCGAATACAGACAGCCGAAAGTGCATAAACGCAGAAGCGCATGTTGTTTCATTTGTGTACTACCCCAGAAACCCCCTCTCTCCCTCCTCTTTCCGTCTGACTGGCACACATTCGGGACCGCATCCTGTTTGCTGGCTGGATTATACTGGAGGTGTGAATATACAGCGAGGAGGGGGAGCAGGGGACTCATTATGATAGCCTGGCAGATGTGTACCAACCGGTTACAGGGCGCCCCCGACACCACCTGTTCCCCATCACCGTTTTATGTACACTGATCACATGGCAGAGGTCGACAACGAGGTCACTACCATTTCTGTCCTACTTTTACGCACGCACATTAAACCTGCTGTGGCACCTGAGAGATATTTTTTTTTTTTGGTAATTTGCGTGATGTCCCTAATTTCAATTTAAATTCCAGTCTCAATCATTTCTAATTCAAGTGTACATGTCGTGAAACAAACCAGAACAAATGCGCTGAATGGAGTATGGACATCCTGTCTCCCGCGCGCTCTCCTTGGACCACTGCTCGCTTTATCAAGTCCAGACATCGAGACGGAATTTTGTTTCTCAAGAACAAGTCAGAAAAAAGGAAAGTTGCTCACTGATTAGTTCACTTTTATAGAGCGTCGTCAGAAATACGATGACTCATTTTATTTTACCCTTGATCAAATCCTTAATATGACTCTTGGAGGAGGTGGATATTATTTAGCCTAATGATGGAAAAAATAATAACATGCCAGTGTTTCTAAATTAAACGTCATATTCAGAACTAATCATCTAAATTGACCAATTATGAGGTCAATTAAAACCAGGATGTGTCTCGGGGAAGAATATTTTACTGCCTCCAATTTGGTTCTTAATGGCAACTGACAGAACAACAAAACGATAAGAGATTATGTATTTATAGCTACTGTTATGCTGATGTTTATAATGATGGTAATAAGACCAACCAAGCCTTGGTGTTGTCAGGCTAATTCTTGTGTTACTCCTAGCAATAGAAAGTAGAGAATACCCACTCAAATTTTAAATGGCAGGCTGGTTAGAATTCATGTTTATTCATGTAGGAACGCTCGGAATCAATTTGCAGACACTGCCGAAACGGCGAAATGAAAGCGGACAGGGGTGCGAATTGAATTTGTACTCTTGGTTGTCTTTTTCTCACAATCCATTTCCGAGGGTTCCCTAGATGGAGAGTGTGTGAGTCTAATTATCGCCCTACATGCAATTAGCGACCAGAAGCCATCTCCAAACACAGTTGGCCTGGAAACGTGGTAAGGTGAGGAGGAGCCACAACACCACTTGTCCTTGACACCTCGGATTCAACTGTGATATCTCTCACTGCAGACTTGTACAATTGCGTCACTCCAAGTCTCCACTGTAGCAGCCTACTGTATAGGCTATAGCTGATATTATACAGTAGCTTAGGCCTAGGCTTGATTCTCTAATGTTACCAGATCATTGTGTCCGTTATACTACTCGGCCTACACTTTGGCGCCTACATAATAATACCCCACTGACACCTACAGTACTGTATGTAACGTTCAGGGTCTATGTGGGGCTGTTCTTCTCTACAGCTGTTCCCGTGTTGCTTACAGATCTGCTCCCCCCTCGATAAGCAAACACCAGGCAGATCTGCCCCCCCCACAGAAACCCCATTACTGAGCGCCTTTGAATTCTTCATCATCCCCTTCTAATTTTGTTTATAAGAGTGAAATTACTTCCACACTTTATTTTAAGCGGCTTTGGAAAGTTGATAATTCTCAAGAGTCTAGGACCCAGTGATAACTGGCCGCAGTACACACATTTTTATTCCTGCGCTAAATACCTCGACCATTAAACATCAACACAGTCATCAAGATTAGTGTTTAGGGGAGCGACAGTGTAACAGCGCATTTGACTCACCAGACCAACGGTCTCTTCCGAATTATTCCACTGATATTGACGCAGTCTTTTGTGCGTAATTATGTTCCCTAGAGATGCGTGGCAAGTAGCACGTCAATGAATGTTATTATTGGCCCAATCTAACGACTATTCGGTGGACATTTTGTTTTCTCCTCTCCACAGGTACAAAAGGCTCCTCCCGTGATGCCTGTGATTGATGGTTGTTTTAATTGGGTGGATTTTTTTTTACAATGTGATTTACAACTGATTTACAACCTGGGTGGTCTGACCAAATGATTGGAGTGTCCTTTCCAGAACATGCAAACAGCAGAAAAAGAGAAAACAGAGAGATCATGGAGAGACAAGATGGGGCAGTGGGAAATCCCTCTTTAATACTATTTCCTGGTTCAGATGATCAGACAAATAATGTTGCAGTAGGATTGTGGTCCTCTGTAGCTCAGCTGGTAGAGCACGGCGCTTGTAATGCCAAGGTAGTGGGTTCGATCCCCGGGACCACCCATACACAAAAATGTATGCACGCGCATGACTGTAAGTCGCTTTGGATAAAAGCGTCTGCTAAATGGCATATTATTATTATTTTTATTATTGATTGAATATCGCAATCAATGGACAAACAACCTAACATTTCTGACTGCCTTATTCCGGCTCCAACCATCTGTCCACCTGCTAGATTTCTATAAAGGCCTCCTCCTTCCCTCCATATTTCTCATTCTCTCTTTCCCTGGCTGTCTTTTGAAGTCATTGGGGTCCTGTGGTCATCAGAGGTCTTCTGGGCCCAACCCTTGCGTGCGTACGTACACACACACACACACACACACACACAACCCTTGCGTGCGTACGTACACACACACACACACACACACACACACACACACACACACAGGGTTTGCGGGATAAACGTACATTACCACCTGTCTTTGTGACCCTGAGTCAACACTGGTAGTGTCACCGCCACTGACTCCCACGCTTCACATCCTCACACACACACACACACACACACACACACACACCACCACCACCACCACCGGTCTCAACCCTACTGTCCTACCGTCAACCCCCACACCAGAGTGTGGGACTCCCAGTGAGACATCCTCCTCCTCATAACCCCCCCACAGACAGCGCTGGCCCAGCCCCAAACCTCCAGGGGTTCTGTAGCTGAGAGGAAGCCCAGTGTCCTGGGGAGAAAGTCAATTACTGGGTCACAGTCACACTGATGAGAAAGTCACAGAGAGTTCCTCAGAGATGGGAAATTAGCCATGGAAATGGTCATCCAAACATCAAACTCATCCCAAAGGGTTTGTGTGTGCGTTATTCAGTTTTCTCCCATCATATAGCAGAAGAATGGCCCTTCCATCTCACAAGTTTATCACAAATTTGTCACACAGTCTCATGACCAACCTTATAACAACCTATTTGCAATGTGACTATGTGACAGCGTGACGTGGTAGTAGTTTGCTCCTATCACCAGCAGGGTAGAGGCCCATCATTGTACAAGGTACTATACTCTGTCTTCCACATGTCACTCTGCCCCAGCCTCCTTCCCCTCTTGCCCAGGATGGCAAGCTGCTCCTGGGCTGAGGCTGAATCTGAAGCCTGGGCCTGGTTCGGTGAGAGAGGCCAGAGTGGATCAGGATGACCCAAAACTGGACACCAGCCCTGAGTCAGAACCTGGCACCGCCAGCTCCTCAAATTTCTGGATGACCGACAGACTGGAAGGGCACGTATCTATGCCAGCGACCCCAACCAGCTCCAGAAGGCCCTCTATAGGCGGACGCTTGGCTGAGGAAGACGTGGGGCAGAGGGGGTAGGCCACAGCGGAGCCTCAGCCTGCCCTGGCCCAGCCCCAGAGCAGGACGCACCCCAGCATTGCTGAAGCGAGTGGGCAGGGTGGCCAGGTGCTCCTTGGTCAGAGGGTTGTGGAAGCTCAGCGCCCCTCCACCCATGTTGAGGAACAGCCCTAGGGTCTTGATCTGGGGGGGCACGGCACGTAAGGGCTCCCGACGGCTATCGTACACAGTGGAGAAGGACAAGCCCACCTTTCCAGCCTTCAGCCGCGAGCATCGTCCAATGAGCTCACTCCTGTATGGAAAATAGGAAAGGTGGTTGCTTTCTGTGTCACAATTCAGACATCATGGGAAATTATGTCTTCAAATATCGTGCCAATAAACGTTGCAATGTCATCATGAAACAGGGTAGTCTTTATGCCTGACTTTTTCTGCACTCAACAAAACTACATAGTTGTTGCCTCGTTTGGCCTGACTAAAACATGTTGATTGGAGCAGGAAGACTGGCACCCACAGTGTTTCCCCTATATGCATTTAGCAGTGGCAGTGCATGGCCGCCACTGTACTTAAAAAACAAAAAAGTAGTTATATGTAAGCCCCAGGAAGACCCCTTCTGCTCTTTTCTATGTAGGGGACACAATATATGGGCTATACTTGTTTCTCACTTATGGATGGCACAAATTGGGATATGGGGGAGGGGAATGGGCAGGGTATATGCAAATTAAATACTGTAGTATATACTATAGTAATTACTGTGGTGTTTTTGCAGACTGTAATGTTTTTGCAGACATTACTTTAGTATTTACTGTAGTGTTTTTGCAGACTGCAGTGTTTTTGCAAAGATTACTGTAGTATTTACTGTAATGTTTGTGGTCTGTAGTATACTGTAGTATTTATTATAGTATTCTACACTATACTACACCATTCTATAGTAAGTACTACACATGATCAAGGTATACTACAGAATTCTATAGTAAGTACTGTAGTATTCTATAGTAAACTGTAATATTTTTTCATGTGGGATTGGCACGAGTGAGCAATAATATGTGAAATATCAATGCTGTTCCCATCCCATATTGCTTTGCTAAGTATCCCTATTCCCTAAGTACAGCTCGGTCGACAGTGCCAGTCATCATGGTCAACAACCACTAATACGTATTTGGCTGACTCTCTACAGTTAATGATGAAGCTGCACATTTCTGTCATATTTGATGCAAATCAACAGATTGTTTATGGTTTGTTGCTGGGCCAAATTATTAGAGCTTTCTGTTGTTTACAGAGAGCAGATGTCAATATGCCTTGAAAGCCAAAATGAAATTGTTAAAGAAACAATTAAATTTTTAGTGGTTCAGCGCTGGGAAATCCCTGCTGACATCGTGTTCACCACTGGGTGGCACCACAGAGCCGAGTTAAAGGATGTGAATGAACTTTATGTAGGACAGACAGCCTGTGTCCTGTATGCACTAGGGACAATATTAAGTGTGTGCGGGAGCATTTGCACAAGACTGCCTGTATGTATTTGTAGGCTACAACCGCCACATGATTATGTGTAAGACATGTAGCCCATGGAAATTCATATTTATGTCTGTCAGTAGGAATATATCAGCATGCCAGAGGCTAAGAGTATTATTATCAAAGCTGTGATTTGTACTTGGTAGTAACTCATGGCCAGGTGGAGTAGGGTGCATATCCTCACCTATCCGGTAGAGGGTGCTGTTGCAGACATCCACCTCCCAGTAGAACTGACCACTGACGATGACCACGTCCCCACACACATAAAAAAATAAAATAAAATAATGTAGTCATTTTAGCAGACGCTCTTATCCAGAGCGACTTACAGTGAGTGCATACATTTTCATACTGGCCCCCCGTGGGAATTGAACCCACAACCCTGGTGTTGCAAACGCCATGCTCTACCAATTGAGCTACACAGGACTACACACCTGAGGGAGGGACTTGGGGGCAGACTCCTGGGATACTGACCCCCTGACCCTGTTGCTACGGTGACAAGAGGGTAGTGGCGGAGGGCTTGGTCCGTGGAAGGTCACAGGGAGAGAGATGGAGGGATAGAGCAGCAGCAGAGGGGTCCAGGGTGAACGTCAGACCTGGGAAAGGAGAGATGAAGACAAAAGAGAAGGTGAAACCTGATTTCCATAATACTCCATTCCATCCATTATTATGAGCCATCCTCCCTTCAGCAGCCTCGACTGTTCTACACAGTATATCAATACAGAGTCTTGTATTGGACTCACTGACCTGAGACAGACTGTTCCATCTCTTCCTCTTGTAGGTCTATAGCACCCTCCAGTGGTGAGCCTGCATCCATGGGTACACAGAGAGAAAAGAGACAGTTAAAACAGACACAAAACAGTTGGTAGCCTTTAAAGCCCTAGGGCATGTAGGGAAGTAAGCCTGCCAGTATCACTTACCCATGAGGCCTGTCAGTATTCAGAGGAACCAGAAACCCAACACTGTGAAGAAACAGAGTAACAACAACAACAACTGCCTGGCATGTCTCCCAGTTTAAACCTGGAGCTCGCAGAATGTGTCTACCCTAGACTAACTGCCAAGCACAGGCGGTTGGTGGCACTTTAATTGGGGAGGACGGGCTCGTGGTAATAGCTGGAGCGGAATTGGTGGAATGATAGCAAATACATCAAACACATGGTTTCTATGCGTTTGATGTCATTCCATTTGCTCTGTTTCACCCATTATTATGCGCCGTCTCCCCTCAGCAGACTCCACTGCTTCCAAGGTACCATTTCACTCACCATATGCAGCAGTGCCCTGGTCCGTGACATCCCCTGTGTCCCTGCCCAATGGATTCCCCTGCAGGTGGGAGTAGTGGGGGTGGGGTGGGAAGGAATGGGAAGGTGTGTTAGGGAGGGTTAAGTCATTGGGCCACTTGGAGGGTGTGACCTGTATCCGTCCTAAGATTGAATAGGACAATGGGAGAAGATTGTGCATCCATAAGACTTGTGTGCCTCTCACTTGTCTAAAGAAAAAAAATGATATAAGTCTACCTATCCTACCTGAAAAGAAAATAACAAGCTTTGTTACCTGTGAGAAGGCCTTTGTCCCTCCTTCCGCCTGTTCCCCAGCTCTACTGGCTCTCCACCCAGGGGTCAGGGTGGGGTCGGGGGGCGGGCAGCAGGTGGCAGAAGCCCACTCCCAGCGTGGCAGCTCCACAGGGTGGCAACAGCAAGGGCACAGAACGACACATACAGGTGGACTGGTAGAGTGGTGGTGGTCAGAACGGGTGCCACCACGGGAAGCATGGAACACCCCTTAATCTTCCTCACTTCGTACACATCACTCACCCTGCCCCCTCTCCACCCCCTACACAGTGCCCACACAGGGTATGGGAGCATGGTAGGAGAAGGGCAACGTCAAAAACACGGCTACAGGTTCCTCCTCCTCACCATCGTTCTTTTGTTATGTTCCGTCAAGACGGGGTGGTGTCCTTCGCATTATTGACAGATGAAGAGTTGAGTTTAATGCATTTATAGCTCAATATCATCCTATCACCCTTGTCATTCTATTCTTTTTTAGTCTTTGCCAAAACAAAGGTCAGCATAGTCAACCTGTCTCTACAGTCAACATGTACTGTCGACAATTCAATAGTGAGGGGGCCATCCCTGCATCAAGTCTTTTCTATGGGTTGATGCAATGTAACGTGCAGCCACAGTATCCTATTAACCATTAATCCGAGAGCCTTGGCCAACACAAAGGACACACGCTCTCGTATTCTCCTTAGAAATACACAATGAGGAGAGATCCCCCACTGTACGAAGACATCCTTTTCTAGCAGATTTCAAATAGATTTTTCCTCAACAGGTCACAAAGATATCCAACTCGGGTAAATCAAAGATCCTCTTCTTTAACATATCAAAGATGTCCCCCACACAGATGGATGATGGATGACACAGCAGGCTGCATTCAGAGAGGGCTCCACTCGATGGCAGGTGAGATGTTAGCGCTAGACAGATTCCTGTCCTTTTCTCCTGCCTCGCTTTTGCTGTTCTATCTATCTCCCTTTGCTGATGTTGAGCATGCTGTGCTACGTAGGTTGGCAAGACAGACAGAGGAAGAGAAAGGAAGTGAAACAGAGAAAAAGAGAGAGTGACAGAAAGGCAGATAGGAGAAAGAGAGAGTGACAGACAGAGGAAAGCAGCCTTTTATTAGACACTGCTTGGCGTTACCATGGTTATGGCCTTCTGTAAAGACGCCAGTAAAGCCGGCCCACTGAACACACACACACACACTAGTGATGAATGTAATGGTCACACACAGACACTCAGACACTAATTTGTCATGCAAACCTTTTCCTTTCTCTTCCCCTCTCTCTGTGTCTCCTCCTGTACTACATGGATTATCTGAAAGGGTTTTTATGATGATGAATGATGTGAATATAAAGATCTGCCACAGCTCCATCACCGTGGTTACACTTTCTGTTTGTCTCCATATGGGCTGGTGGGGCCATTCTTCACCGGGCCACTCCACAACACCAGGGCCAGGTCGGGGTCAGCTCAAAGTTGGCTTCTGGGGTGAAAGGGTGCAGGACAGAGGAGGGGTAGGAGGAGGATAGACTGGAGGATGGATAAAGAGGGAGCTCAGTTGGTGGAGAATGGAGCTTGCAATGCCAGGATAGTGGGTTTGATTCCTAGGACCACCCGTACGTAAAAATGTATGCACGCGTTTGGATAAAAGTGTCTGCTAAATGGCATATATATATATATATATATATATACACACAGCTGCGGAAAAAAATAAGAGACCACTGCAAAATGATCAGTTTCTCTGGTTTTACTATTTATAGGTATGCGTTTGGGTAAAAATAACATTTTTGTTTGTTTTATTCTATAAACTACTGACAACATTTCCCCCAGATTCCAAATAAAAATATTGTCATTTAGAGCATTTATTTGCAGAAAATGACAACTGGTCAAAATAACAAAAAAGATGCAGTGTTGTCAGACCTCGAATAATGCAAAGAAAATAAGTTCATGTTCATTTTTAAACAACACAATACTAATGTTTTAACTTAGGAAGAGTTCAGAAATCAATATTTGGTGGAATAACCCTGATTTTCAATCACAGCTTTCATGTGTCTTGGCATGCTCTCCACCAGTCTTTCACATTGATGTTGGGTGACTTTATGCCACTCCTGGCGAAAAATTCAAGCAGCTCGGCTTTGTTTGATGGCTTGTGACCATCCATCTTCCTCTTGATCACATTCCAGAAGTTTTCAATGGGCTTCAGGTCTGGAGATTGGGCTGGCCATGACAGGGTATTGATCTGGTGGTCCTCCATCCACACCTTGATTGACCTGGCTGTGTGGCATGGTGCATTGTCCTGCTGGAAAAAACAATCCTCAGAGTTGGGGAACAATGTCAGAGCAAAAGGAAGCAAGTTTTCTTCCAGGACAACCTTGTACGTGGCTTGATTAATGCGTCCTTCACAAAGACAAATCTGCCCGATTCCAGCCTTGCTGAAGCACCCCCAGATCATCACCGATCCTCCACCAAATTTCACAGTGGGTGTAAGACACTGTGGCTTGTAGGCCTCTCCAGGACTCCGTCTAACCATTAGACGACCAGGTGTTGGCTGAAAATTGGACTCATCAGAGAAGATGACCTTACTCCAGTCCTCTACGGTCCAATCCTTATGGTCTTTTGCAAACCTCAGCCTGGCTCTTCTTTGCTTCTCATTGATGAAGTTTTTTTTTCTAGCTTTGCACAACTTCAGCCCTGCCCCTAGGAGCCTGTTTCGAACCGTCCTCGCCGTGCACTTCACCCCAGCTGCCGTTTGCCATTCTTTTTGTAGGTCACTTGATGTCATCCTACGGTTGTTGAGTGACATTCGAATGAGTTGGCGGTCATCCCGGTCAGTAGAGAGTCGTTTTCGCTCTCTGCCTGTCTTGTTGTCCCCAATGTCTGCTGCTTGACCTTGTTCTTATGAACCGCCGTCTTTGACATTTTAAGGATGGAAGCAACCTGACGCTCACAGTATCACTCTGCCAGTAAAGCCAGAATTGAACCCTTCTTTTCCTCACTCATAACTTTCCTTTTCAACTCTTTTGGCATGGTCAATAGTGATTTTTTGATTAATATTACTTTTGAGGTACTATTAGCACTGTTTTTGCCATCCAGCTGGTCCTATTGCAAGAGGATAGTGATGACCACAGCAGTGGATTTTTATACTTTTCCTTGTTAAATAAGATTTGGTTCATATGATCACCTAATCAGTACCTAATTCAGTAGAATGTGGTGTGCCTGTGTTGGAATTCAACAGACACTGGAATGGAAGTCATACATGTAGAGATGCTGATTTAAGACAAATCTGCAGTGGTCTTTTTATCTATATAGGAGGACTGCTGAGGCTGGGTAGAGAGATAGGGGGGCTTATCTCGCCACTGAACTATTCCTAGTGACTTTCACTCTAACCACCAAGCACTGCTTTTTAGTCTAATCTTGATATCAGCATAATTCACAGTCTGTGTGGCAGGAGTTGGAGTGGGGGGAATGAGAGTGCTCAGTGTTCACCAAACCCGCATGCAGTATGCACAATGTCCAAAGGCCATTTCTTAGTAAGCAAAATCCGGTGTGGTAGATTATGCAATAGCCTCTATACATCCAGATACATTATCAATATTCTAGGGATTAGATTATCTATTGACTCATGAAAGGAAATGGAGGTTGCCTAGGCCTACTCACAGGGATAATGACACAATGTAGGAAATAAGAGATGGTCAAACGATAATCATATTATTTTCTCTTCTTTTTTCTTTGAGCAAAAAAAAACAACATACCGGTTTGTCTTGTTCTATTCAGATTTGTTTTCCCGTGCATTTATCTCGTTTCATACCGCTTTTGGGCGAGTTCTCAGGAGGACACGATCAATTGTTCCGTTTATGTGTGCACCGTTGACACGAGGATGGCCAGCTGTCAAACATTAACGGCAGGGTAAAGTAAATATGACGTTCAGTCCACATTTTTTGCGGTTGCCTAAAACGCATACGAGTTGGATTTCATTAATTTGGTCGTTCATTTTTTCCAACTTTCTTCCGTTTTTAAAATATTAATGAAAAGTTAGGCTAGGCTATCGTCACTCGTGCACTGGATATTATACGTTTTATGGGCATGGGCATTTACGGATTGCTACATTTCAGGGATCACAAACATTTCCGCACATAGGTCCCTCCTGGATTAAATGGAACACGGGGACGAGCACCATGGAAGAAAAGTCCGCTATTGAAGGGCGTCATGCGCAGAGGAGCGGGTTATGGCTTTAAGCAGTGGGTATCCAAATGCGCTTTGCAGCATGCCTATCATCATACTATACGAATACACATGCAATGTGAATTATACATGTTTTGTTGAAGAGATCAGTTATAAACTTGGTTTATTAGACCCCTCAAGTGATTATATTTTAGGAGAATAAGTATAGATTTATGCATGGTGATAATTTGACCTTTTCTGGCAATGTGACACACTATCATAACATGTGACATACAAAGGGGAATTGTGTGCATTATTCATTGACATGCATTTCGTTAAGATGTTGTTGGAAAACACTACATGACCTAAAGTATGTGGACACCTGCTTGTCGAACATCTCCATGGGCATTAATATGGAGTTGGTCCCCCCTTTGCTGCTATAACAGCCTCAACTCTTCTGGGAAGGCTTTCCACTAGATGCTGGAACATTGCTGCGGGGACTTGGTTCCATTCAGCCACAAGAGCATTAGTGAGGTCAGGCACTGATGTTGGGCGATTAGGCCTGGCTCACAGTAGGCATTCCAATTCATCCCAAAGGTGTTTGATGGGGTTGAGGTCAGGGCTCTGTGCAGGCCAGTCAAGTTCTTCCACACAATCTCGACAAACCATTTCTGTATGGACCTCGCTTTGTGCATGGGGGCATTGTCATGCTGAAAAAGGAAAGGGCCTTCCCCAAACTGTTGCCACAAAGTTGGAAGCACAGAATTGTCTAGAATGTCATTGTATGCTGTAGCGTTAAGATTTCCCTTCACTGGAACTAAGGGGCCTAGCCCGAACCATGAAAAACAGCCCCAGACCATTATTCCTCCTCCACCAAACTTTACAGTTGGCACTATGCATTGGGGCAGGTAGCTTTCTCCTGGCATCCGTCAAAGCTAGCTGAATAAACTAAGTTAGAGTCTATTCCTAGAAACATTGAACCGCTGTAGTTTACAACATATAATTTCTAAAGTGGAAGTTGGGAGAGTTATATTTGAGTGTTTCCGTGAAAGGTAAGTGAGGGAGGCCCTGCTCTCTCGCTTCCCCAGATGTTTAGTTAATTTTATTCCGATATCTTTT